ATTACAGCTAACGAGGATGCAGGCACATGGAAGCCCGAAGAGCTCCGTCACATTGGCGAGCAGAACGAGGAGAAGGCCTCCTCATCATAAACCCCATGACAGCAACGACTTTTCTTTCGGCATATGTCTTTTAATAATTGCATCTCAAGCGGCGTCCTAAAGGCCATGTTTTCGGTGCGGACGGGTATTTAAGTGTTTTGATTTTTGAATTGGCTTTGTACGGCACCGTCGGAAGGAACTACAAGCGAACAGCATGTCCTGCAAAACAGGAAAAGCATAGAGATTTCGGCATAGAGGTCCATTTCCAGTTACCGTCAGATTTCAAGAGGAGGACGGCCTTCACAAGGAGGGCCGAGAGACTGCAGTCATTAGCATCGCGGTACATATACCCCAGACAGTTACAGTCAGAAATGAAGCGGTAAAAAGCTTAAGCCCCTCGATGCAATTTGTTTACATGGCTCGTGAAATGTCTTGGAAACTTAGGGGACCCAAGCCACTGCATTGGCCTGTCTATTCGTTGACGCACCTGCAATCACCCGCAATGGAAGCTTGGCCGACTTGGCCAACAACGTGGCAGCAATGAAGCGAGCTGGGCATTCGCAGGCGGCTCCTTCGGGCCCCCGGCCGAGGTTCACGTCACCGTGGACCTGCAATGGAGTTGTTCCCTGTCACTGTGTTGCGGCGCCGTGCAACCCCGCACATTTCCCCCCTTTTTTCTCCGCATTTTGGGATCGGGAAGCTTGGAGCTCTCAGCTCTTTTCCCCTCTGCCAAGACTGGACCTTAGGTTGGGTAGATTGACCCCCGGCCGCCGGCCAGACGCGGTCCGGTGGGAGTGCGCAACGATGCATACTAGACAGCTGCCAAAGCCGAGAAGCGACCAGCCTCCCCTCACTTGTTGTTTTAGCCTTGGCTGCCGGTTATTGCGTACCCGCCAGCACGGAACCTCTCAAGCAACGACGGCTCTCTCATATGAGAGCTGTGCGAAGATCGACGGTCCGCCCGTTCGTCAGCTTTTTCTTGTTAATGTCTTTTGTCTGTGAATCTCTGAGGATCTGAAGCGAGGACAACCGAGCTTCCTTTTCAACGTCCGCGACCAGTGCAAGATGAGGATACTGGTGTCTGGGGTCTACCGCCTTTCGAGGTCCTCGAGCCTCGTGAGGTGGACGAGCTCGAGGGTCGTGGGCAGAGGGCTGCTTTCTGCCAGAGCTTATAGCTCCAAGCCGCTGAGCTTCAGCCAAGGTCCAGAGGATGTATGTCACTTCCTTGCCCTTTCTCCTGGACATGAGAGAGACCTCACTCTCACCTCAAACCACAAACATTACTTCAAAGCTAACACCCGCCCAAGCCACCTCTCCTCACACACACAATCCCAGAACACTTCGCCTCCATCGTCTCCGCCCACGGCGACCGCCCCGCCGTCGTCGCCCGCGCCCCAACCGCCCTCTCCTCCACCACCACAACGCCCATCACCACGGAGCTGTCCTACTACGACCTCGACGTGCTCTCCAACTCCCTCGCGCACGGCCTGCGCTTCCTCGGCGTGCGCAAGGGCGACCGCCTCGCCGTCTCCCTCGGCAACGGCGCCGAGTTCGCCGCGCTGACATACGCCGCCTTCAAGCTCGGCGCCGTGCTCGTCCCGCTGAACCCGGGCTTCAACGCGAAGCAGGTGGCCGCCGCGCTGCGGCATCTCGGGGTGGAGGTGCTTGTCATCGGCAAGGTGACGGATCTGCCTTATAAGCCCGGGCGGGGGCGGAGCAATCTCGAGCTGCTGAGGGCGCTGGTGCCGGATCTGGAGAAGGGGAGCGTGGAGAGCGAGGCGGTGCCGAGCTTGAGGACTGTCGTGGCGGTGAATAACCTGGCGTTCCACCCGCAGGTCGAGTTCGGGAGGTACAGGGCGCTGACGCGGTACGAGGAGCTGCTCGCCGGCGGGCGGGGGAGCGTGGTCCCGGACGAAGCGCTGCGCGCGGACGAGACGATTAATATCCAGTTCACGAGCGGGACGACCTCGCAGGCGAAGGCGGCGATGCTGACGCACACGTCGGTGCTGAACAACGGGCACCTGATCGCGCGGCGGATGGGGCTCGTGCCCGGGGACAGGATTGTCGTGCCGCCGCCGCTGTTCCACTGCTTCGGGTGCGTGCTGGGGTACATGGCGACGGCGACGACGGGGGCGGGGATACTGTTCCCGAGCCCCGCGTTCGATCCGGCGGCGACGGTGAGGATGGTCGCGGAGTATGATGCCACGGGGCTGTACGGGGTGTCGACGATGTTTGTGGCGGTGCTGGAGGCGCTGGCGAGCGGGGCGGGCGGCGTGAGGCAGGGGGAGATGCCGCGGGGCTTGAGGAAGGGGATCGCGGCGGGGAGTAGTGTGCCGGAGAGCCTGATGCGGCGGCTGTATGAGACGGTGGGGCTGGAGGAGCTGGTGATTTGTTACGGGATGACGGAGACGAGCCCGGTGAGCTGTATGACGGCGCCCGGGGATCCGTTTGAGAAGCGGACGGGGAGCGTGGGGCGGGTGATGCCGCATACGAAGGTGAAGATTGTGGATCCGACGGATCGGGGGAGGGTGGTGGAGCGCGGGGAGAGGGGGGAGCTGGCGGCGGCGGGGTACCTTGTGATGAAGGGGTATTGGGGGGATGAGGAGAAGACGGCGGAGGTGAGGGTGGAGGACGAGGAGGGGACGGTGTGGATGTACTCCGGGGACGAGGCCGTGATGGACGAGGAGGGGTATGTTGAGATCACGGGGCGGATTAAGGATTTGATTATTAGGGGCGGGGAGAATATACACCCGCTCGAGGTGGAGAATTGCCTGTTCCAGATGGATGGGGTGAAGGAGGTTTCTGTGGTGGGCGTGCCGGATGAGAGGCTTGGTGAGAGCGTGGGTGCGTTTGTGGTTGTGAAGAAGGGGTGGAAGGGGGAGGGGGAGGAAGGGGAGGGGGAGGTGCTGACGAGGGACGCGGTGAGGGCGTGGGTGAGGGAGCATCTTTCGAGTCACCTTGTGCCGAAGCATGTGTTTTGGATTGACGAGTATCCCAAGACGCCGAGTGGGAAGATTCAGAAGTTCAAGTTGAGGGATATGGCTAAGGAGATTTTGGGGGAGAAGAAGGATTAGGGGCAGGGGGAATGGTTTGGGTTGGTTGAGGACAGCATTGTTAAGGAGTATTGGGTGTGTTTTTTATGATGATAGTAAATGAAATATTGAACCCATGACATATCTAAGTCCTTAACCCCCCGTCAAATGGCCACTAGAGACTGTGGAAAGCTGAGAAGCCGGCAAAGAAAGAAAACAACGCAACGAGTCTCATAACGTCATGAATTCTTCCCTCCTATGTTCAAAGTCCCAATTCAAAGTTGCCAAAGCTCGTATCCAGCATCTCATTATTCATCCAGTCTGTGCCCTCATGCTGTTGTCCCATCCCGTCATGGCCGCTAACAGAAGGAATCATATCATACTGGAAGTCAAATACTTCTTTGAATGGCTGAAAAATGTCTCCAGCCGTTGACGGAGAGAGCCCACCGTGGGTGCCCTCAGTCTTTGTAGTGGGAGTCGGGGCCTCCAAGAAAGCCTCGAGACCGCACCCTCCAGTCGTCTGAGATTGTTGGGCAGAGTCGGAGTTGGAAGGTTGACAGCTGGTAATATCCGGATCATCCGTCCTCATTGGCAAGTTGGTGTCCTGTTGTCGGTATGATTGAAAGGCATCTGCATGAGCAGTCTCGACGATTTGAATCAGCTGGCGAAATATCTGGCCTCGTAGCGACTGTGGAAGCTGGAAGCTCGTCTGTTCAAGGCGCCTCCTCACCTTTCGCGGTAGTTCAAGCCCGAGGTAAGTCTGCATCTGGTCCAGATCTCTGCGCCGACGTTTCTCCCATTCCTTGGTGTTATTTTCATAGTCTACATCAGAGTGTAAGTGAGCGCGCATCTTGTCATAGGTAGTGTTTGAAAGTACGAAACGTACATGGGCTTGGGATGAGCTCATCCCGCACAAGAGGAAATAAAATCCGATACATCTCTTTCCACTGCTTATCTGCAGGACCTCGGCCTCTTTTTCTCAAAGCCTTTTCCTGCTTTTTATTGAACCCCACCGCATGGGAGTTCGAAAAGTCCACCGAGCAAGGATCAGGTAGCTTGAGATGCTTGTGGAGTTCCGTCTCAGTGGTGAACAGTGTGGAGCATCGTCCACAGTGGATGGGTGGTGCATGTTGACGAAGGATGTGTTCTCTGAAGTTTAAATGTCAGCCATTCGTAATTAGAGTAAGACGTAGATGAGGAGAAGAAAAGAAACGAAAAAAGCCTCAAAATTGGAGCAGTAAAGGAAAGGTGTACTAACTTGACACGATGAACGGTTGACCAGCCTGGTCCCGCACAGGACCGGTATTTTTGGGATTTTGCGGGACAATGGCGATAGAATGGACATGCTAGCCTCTCATCAGAATGCGAGATAGGTGAAATCTTGCGTGTTTTCCGGTGCGGTACATTCAGATCGTCTTTGGTACCCGTCGCCTCTAGCATACTCGAGCTTGCTTGATTGTCAACCATGACGTTGATCCGATTGCAGAACTTCACTTGCTCGATAAGAGGTACCCAAGCTACCCAACCTATCAGAAAGTCTTATTAAAAAGTGAAAGAATAGAAAGATAAAGATAAGACGGGAAAACAAACATTCAATAGAAGATGAGACGGAGGTGGTGGCAGATTGAAGTAGGCCTAGTCTCAGTGTACGAAAAGAAGGGTGGGGTTTCTCAATCTCAGCGTGATTCCCGGGAGAGAGACCAAAGCTGAAGGTACAAATCGTGAAGCAAGGCTGGCATACGACAAGGCCTGGGCACAGGTTTGGAAGACCAGCAGTGAGGGCTGGCTGGCGGCTTTGCAGTGGAGATACGAATGCCCAAGTTTCCTTGACGGACAGAACGAAGAACTGATTTTCAATCTTGTCCTGGCTGAAAGGGGTTGAGAGGGGAACTAATATACCTGGTCGCGATATCCGAAGAGAGGTGAAGCATGGGTTGGGCTTTCTGCTTCGAGATCAGGCCGAGCCTGTGGGTCTACGGAGTACGTCTTCTCGATCAAAGCCAGCATATAATCATGATTTAACCAATTAAAGCACATGGTCTTCTCCGATATCGACGTTGAGCCGTGTCTAGGCAGGGAGATCCAACTGCACATTTTGCCCACCTTCAGAGGTACTGCTACAAGTGAGTCCAACAGAACAGACGGGAAGATCCCCAAGCTGACCGGGTGGGCCTTTCGGTTCAACTGAGATCACGGGTGCTGTCCTTGGATCAGGTATCGTCAGAAGGTTGAACATGTCAGCCTTACGGGTCCAGGAGCTCAGCTCCGGATAGTAAACGTCTCTCTAGACTTGCGCCTACTTCTACCGAAGCGGTACACTCACTGGCCTGATCTTCTTAAACTAAAAGTTGACTTCTGACAGATGGGGAAAATGAGAGCTGGCAGGTGCATTAAACCAGCTGCAACTCGCGAGAAGCGGTGGGGTACTGGTCAACTAGAGGTGAGCAGTGGCCATGCAGTAGCGCCGCATCCATTACCTTAACGTTATGCTCCTCTACAATGTATCCAAAATAGCTTAGCCGGGTTTATAAAGCCACTATACCTAACTGAGGAAAGGTATCGTAGCCCTTTTGTGGTTTCCAATTCCTTCCCAACTAGTCGATATCAATGTTCCATTCGTATGCAGTAGCTCTAATCAGCGCTCATCTGCACTATACTTGAAGTAGCTTAGCTGGGCTTATAGAGCCACTATGCCTAACTCGGGAAAGTCATCATAGCTCTGGGGGTTCGGGTCGAGCTCTGCTTGGGTTTTATTGCTTTTTGTGGCTGGTATGCATGGTAACAGACTTTCGGCTGTATCTTACTGTGTGGTAATGTCCTGAGCCCTGGGCATCACTGACCAACCCCTGGCTATCACTTTCAGCGAAGTACGACGCGAAGCGCGCCGCCGCGCGACTGTTGCATGTCCTCGAGCGAGGGAGATGATATTAGCAAGTGTGATGCGCTCGACCTGAGATTCTTCCTCTGCTGCTCATACCATCTCAGTTCAAACACACCGACCAACAGTGCCACAATTCTTTTCTCAAGTTTGTGCCCTGGCAGCGTCACGACCAACTTAAACCTCCATTCCCACGACCGGAGATCGTCGAATCGACTGGGAACTACGAGGTAAAAACCTCGATTACACCTAAATACAACAACGACGACGACGAGGAGGATGACAGCAAGAAGAATATGACGAGCAAGAACCATAAGAAGAAAAATAAGAAGAGCAAAGACGACCAGCGAAAGCGATCCTTCATCTCGCAGTCGCCTAGTATGGAGAAGCTTCCCGCAGAGATCCGACGGATGATTCTGGACAACTTCATCAATGATCTGTCGCACAGACAGGATTGGCGTCCTGGGCAACTGTGTCTGCAGATTGGCAAGTCCTCATTGAGGAAGACACGTTCAAGTCTGTCCACCTCAAATGGGATGATTCTCATACAAATTCCGAGCTTCCAACATTCGACAACGCTGTCAACGGCCATCTACGGAGACTGCTCAAGAACATCAACCTCGAGATGATGCTGGAACAACACGATTGCTTGGTATCTGGCCGACCGGAGTCGGAACTTGAAATCGACAACAACAATCTCCGCTTCACAATCGCTATGCAGCTACTCTTTTCAAGTCCTCAAAGACTGAAACGACGACATTTCATGTTACTATAGGCAAAGCCTGGAGGTAAGGTACGAGCCAGCTCCCAAAGCGACCTGTATCACTCCTTTCCGGATGTCGAACACGACGCTCACTGCGTGCGTCACGACCACATTCAACAAGCTGCAGGGACGGTGACAACTGTGATGACAAACCCGGCCGCAGCTATGTACCTGCTCGAGAATCCGAATGGCGAGAAAGAAGGCGTCATCGGCAATCTCCTACATTTCAAGAACATCGATATTAAACTGCCCGAGCTCCCATTCATTCATCAGCTTGTGGTGAATCGAAGCACAACGCGGAGCTTCGCAGCAAAGGCCATCAAGAAGCTCCTGAAGCATTTGACAGGTCTCGAACGCGTCGTCTAGGATCCCATGCAAGCTGTCGGCAAAGGCGTCAAGGAGCGCCAAAAGGCAAACATAGCTCTACTCCGAAAACTGCCATCCTCTATAGAGTCGTTATCTCTATACTAAGCACGCTCAGAGTACCTAGAGATGCAACAAATGGGCATATCAACTCCCCCAGAGGTGCGGGCTGGGAAAAAGGTCGTGGCAGCCGCTGTGGCAGCCAGCTTGCGTTGCCGCAACCTCCAAGAACTTTCCCTGTCCAACGCAGTTGACGCCGAAGACTTCTTTGCGCGGGCTTTGGAAGATCCCGCAGCGAAAGACGCTTCGGGGGATGCGCCCTGGCCGAACCTGAGGCGCGTGGCTCTGTCAACCCGACATGAGAGACGGGGGGACTCCAAGGTGTCACCCTATCAGCTGCTCCGTGACGCTGCGAGCGTGGCCCTACGCATGCCAAAGCTGGAGACTATGGAGATCTGGGCTGAATCTGAGTTGAGAAGATTCTTGTTTCGGTACAATGTCGAGGGCGACCAGGCGGCCATCAGGGTAGAGATTGACTCGGGATATTATCAAGATGAAGTCTACCTCCCCTGTGCCAATCTTGTAAAGGCAGTCGAAAAGACTCTGAAGATCTGGCGAAAGGTTGCAGACCCGCGTCGTCAGCTTTCGCATACAGTGGAAATGGTTGAAGGCCAGGCCGCGTACTGGGACGACAGCGACGATGAAGACGCTATTTATGACGATGAAGACCAGAAGACGTGGCCGCTAGCACCGTCTGTCTGCGATAGCCTTCGGCTGAATGGCTTGGTACGGGATGCTAGTGCGAAGCGGCGTTTCGTATTTAAAGACTGGTATTGATGGGCGTATTGCCAGTGGGACCGGGCGAGATGTATTGTATTCATCATTGCGGCATTTGGTGTAGTTGTACGTTCATGTATTACTATCTGTACAACAATTACGGAAACTTTTTCTTTGACTGCAAAATACACTTACCTCCAAATATAACATTAAATGCACCATTGAAGTTGATTTCCAATTTGGAGACTCTGCCACTCCATAGCACTATGCTAGTCTCATCTACTATTCCTCGCTCGGCGAATACCCGAACGGTAATGGGCGATGTTGATTTTGAGTCTTGTGATCCGGGCGGATAGCTGTTATACTAGGTTTCCTTGTTGTCGTCGATGCTTACTCCCCGCCCGGATAGGAAAACTCTTGATTTTATCAGATGTCGACATTGATACCCAACACACAGCTTGATTCTGTACCTAGCATTCAACTTCTAACCCCATCATCGGGGACTGTGCTCATTTGAACCAGAACCAACGCCAAGTGTCGCCAGGCTGAATCTCTGCCTGGTTGTCTGGGGCAACGTAGGTCCTCTCCAGCTCAAAGACGTGAGGAAGAACAGCCAGGGCGTTCTGCAGATTTTGCATACCGGCGATGACGGATCCATGAAGACCTGAACAGAGCGGGCACCAGCACAATGTATCAATAAGATGGTACGGTAGCTGAAGCTGTGATCTACCTGTGAAAGCCACCAAGGATATTGCAGATGCGTACCTGAGTTGTCGGCTGAGGGCTGGATGTCTGGCGTGCCGTTGTGGTCATTGCTCTACGTTGACCATGGATCAGGCAAGCCACTGGACCAGTCGATGGAAGCAAAATTCCCAAGACTCATCGGATCAGCCAGCGCGGGGGACCAAGTGTCTGGATTGTACATTATTAGATTCTGGTTGCAAGATTCGGAAAGGAAAGGGAAATTTCTTGCCTGTTGGCATGAGCTCTTCGGTAAGAGGGTCTTCGGCAATAGGTATCCATGGATGCCGTAGGCAACTGCGCCAAGATTAAGAGCGGTAAAGAGGTTCGGTGTCTTCATTTTCGTAATGAACGAACAGTGGTCTGGCGATGATTGTAATGACTAATGACTAATGACTAATGAATATTTCGATGGGATGTCAAAAGTTTCAACTCCTAAGAGGGTACAAGTCAGGGAAGACTTTGACTCGATTGATAATCTCCAATCCTCGTCTTCTCCGTGAAAGGAATCCGTATGTGTAGCTGGCCCTCTTACGTAGGATGTGTCACTGGGCCATGGATCTGTCAACATGCTATAGTCGTGAAGATACAAACCCACCAGCTTCCTCCAGAGGATTCAACCGAAATCCAATAGATCACCCTGATCGTTACAGTCCTATATTTGTTACGACACTCTGAAAATCATGAAGTTTCTTCAGTCCATTTGTCTTGCTGCCTTGTAGTAGCTCTAACAGCTTTGCTGTATCAAACTTGAATGACCTAACGAATGTGACTAAACAACGGCGCGGCAACGGCCAAAGCCTAGATGTGCAACTGCTTTAACGTCACAGACCCGAGATCGTTGCATCCGCTCACCGTTTGCAAGGCTTTTGAAAGAGCGCTATGTAGCGATAAGGTGCGGAAGATCAACGATGTAAGTTTTCTTCCACAACACTCCGAACTATCTGGGTGGTTTCGACCAACAAGCACTGACTATCGCCCGTTAGTGTATCAGGAGCTATACCATCGCTGATGCTGACTGCTCTGCGGCTCTATCTAAAAATTGGAAACAGCAAAAAGGTCCAGGATACTTCTATCAAAGCGAACTTCAAGCGCTACAGTGGCTCTTGATCAAATTACAATGGTCAAGGGCAAAGGCTCAGATGTAGATGAGCTGATGGAATTCATTCTGTTATGCATTTGAAATGTAACTCCCTTTGAAGTCAACTTCTTAAGCGGATTTCTGCTGCCTAAGGAAATACTCCATGCCAAACAGATGGTATCACTATGTTGCATCTGACATCTACGTCGTTCCCTTAGTCTACATCCTCTAGATTATAGCTGGCAGTATTTGACCAGATTGCAGAGCTTTGCGATCTGAGTGGAAGCTCTTCTACATAACAAGTTCGTCTTCTCGAACAGCGTCCGTCATCAAGCCATATAGAAGGGCTTCTGACCAGAATCGTTATTAAGAGCGAACAGGATATTCTGGAACAGAGACTATTTTAGATATTCAGACATAACAACCTGCGCTCTCTTGCTCTTTAGTGAGAACATAACCTTCAACCCAAAATGTGCTGTGTGACTAAACACGAAACTCTCCCCATCCGCAACCAGTGGACGCTCTGCCACCGCGACTAGCTATCTCAAGCGATTCCCAACGTCGCTTCTTCATCAGGAACTTATTAGTCATTTGATAAATAGAGACTTTGTGAATTCAATTCTTTGGAATAATGATGTTAGCTAACCAAAAATTGTCTTAATCTCTGGATTGCAGATATCCCCTCTGACAGCGGAATTCAAGTTCTTGACGCAATCCAACCGTTGAAGCGCATGCTCCGAGTTCGCACCGAGGTCTCACTTAACAGCGTCCGTCCGGTTTGTCTCGGTCGTATTCCATGAGAATATACTAAAGCCACCAGCTGGAGCCATAGCTTTAGACATCACATGATCAATCTGGTTTCTAGATACTTTGACATTAAGGTCTTCTAGACGCATCATCTCCTAATGAGACACTATGCAGATTCATTTCTCGTTTTGGCCGGGACTTAAGCTCTGCATAGTGGCAGAGCCTTTTATACTTACGTCGCAGCGGGAGGGAGCGTGGTCTTCGTCGATGATGCTATGACAGCACATAATCAGCGATGGCCTGCAGCCTGCAAAGACTAACCAGCTCAAGGACCGGCATTCAGCTATAAAGCCACCCTTCAAACTGCTTTCTCTCTCGTGTGCACCGACGAAGATCATCTGGTATTCCAACAGCTCGATAACTTCAAAACATTTGACAACTAGGCTCGGATACGTTAAGGGCAGTTGCAAAGACTCGGTCCAAGCTACAATCAACGGGCACGGAGCAATTAGTCCCCGTATTTAACGTATTCCAAGTTGAGTATCATGCAGACAAAGACGAGGAGCGATAAAGCCACGAGCTCGAGGCTGTTTGACTGAAACCGTTTGACAGTACTTACAACAAAACAGCTCAGCTAGCATTCGTTTGTGGAGTTAATCCCAACAGCCAAAGTCACCTGCTTTCCTACACTGTCATTGTTGCCCTATTGGTTAACGGGAAGAACCTATACAGACCCGAGAATTTATACCCAGTCTACAGCGCACCAAGCACGCGACCTGGATGCGGACCTCTTTCTCATAGCTCATATCTACCTGCGTCAGACTTCAACACGACGTCTACTTCATTGCCGCATAGCCATTCTGTATTGTGAAAGTGATGCTGAGTAGGCCATTATCACCATAGCACCATGAACAGAAAACCACGCCAGCTATTTAAAGAATGCATACTTTTAAGGACGTTCAATGCAAACAATGAAGTTGAATTCTCCTATCCCTGATGAAGAACGCGGTCGCAGAAGATGACTCAGCTTTTTTGTTTTTGAATATCAAGAATTCTTTCATTCTAACGTAAAAACTTCGCCCTAACACAGACGCGTCTGTGGCTGAACTTCACACAGAAAGAATACTCACCAGATGCCACTGGATGAAAGAAATGCTGAGAGACAGACGAGTTCTCCCGGAGGAAATTCACCAAAGAGCTTGCAAAACATGTCCAACCCGTCCACGATATGCCCGACAGCTTAGTGTAAACAGATTGTCGCACTGGTCGAACGTACAGACCACCCAATTGTTGGGTTGTCAGAAGACGAATTCAAACGAACACTCTCAAAATATATACTTCTGAGTTGCAGCGCCCAACCGCCAAGACTTACAACCGGCGCCAACGACAGTGAAATCGACTCATTCATCAATAAAAGCACCTCTTCTTGAGTAGACTGTCTGTCAAAGGAAATGAAACAGGCTCCTCGTCAATGTCTACTAGTATCACCAGTTTCCATCCCCAACCCCACTACAGAGATCACAACTCCCCATTCGAAACCACTCTCGACCACATCCTCAACCCTCTAATGAATACTCCCCAAATCATCAACCACCAGCAACGAAACCAGACAGTGGCAAAACACCCGGTGATACACATCACCCGAAGGAGGGGTTGGCTGTCGCCTACTATGTTGCAGAACCACCGAGATTCAGAGCCGCAAGCTGACAGAATCAGAAGCACGCACAAGAGCTGTACGACCCTAGAAACCGACCCATTCGGCCTGGAGAAATTATCCTGCCCTCCGAGGACAATATAAAGCAACAAAAAGCAGAGGACTAGAAAGCTCAATGCAACTGAGAGATGTGGCGTGGTCGCTCACTTAGCAGGATACGTTAGCTTCACCTCACAAACAAAAGGCCCGGCGTGGTAGGTAGTCGGCAGCTTCCGGCACTGAGACTCGGCGTCGGACCCCACTCGCGGCTCCGCGCACCTAACAATCACATACACTTACATCAAACTACACGTCACCAAAAATCACAATCAAAACGCCCTCTGTCATGCATCAACTCAAAATACTTTTTTGGTTCATTTCTCAATACGTCCGACTGTGTGAATAGATCCCAATGCGACGAGACGGATCCTCTCCCGGACCTCCCGCGCACACAACTCTGTTTTCCCTTTTTGTCTTGATAAAGCAAACCAAATGTCATCTATGCCTGTGTTGGTGCCCGCCATCCAGGCGTGTGGCACACATGAATTTCTAGCAAATAGTAATGCGGCAGTCGTACCTATCCGGCCCGAGTACGATCGCCCTCTGAACTCCTTTCTTCCCACACCAGCTTTGTACATCCGGACGTCTTTGTCTTCTCCCGTCCCCGTGACGCCTAGTTTTCATGCTTCATGGAAGATTGCGGTATCCATCATGCTGATTTAGTCGACTTGCTTCTCGCAGCCGATTCTGCCCAGAAGCTCTTTGCGATCGCTGTGGCCCGGCAGGCTGACGCCGGAG